GACCGACGCGATATTGACGTGATCTGGAGGTTGAGTGGACGTCGGATGTTTAGTGGGTAACATGTGCATTGTGCTGAGAGCTGATTGGCTGCGTGGTCCATTTGATCATAGAGCGATATTTATCAAGGGTGTGCAAAAGTGATTGGCACCCCTTAACATTGGAGAAAACTGATTTATCAAACTATTAAAACTTCACATACAATATTACTTGTGCACTTGGATTGATAAGTACCTCTGCGTAGGTTTCCTTTTCTCATTTCCAAACTTTAAAAAACATATCCCTATAGAAAGACAAACAAACCCTCATCAACTAACTTCTGCTGGAGGCATCTTTAAGATTTCAGAAAAAGTTGTTCTATTTTGAGGTCTTCACAATAGCCCCCAAAAAGGTGCCTTGCCCTCTCCAGGTGGGTGGAGAGGTCCTTCCTCAAGTGGAGGAGTTCAAGTATCTCGGGGTCTTGTTCACGAGTGAGGGAAGGATGGAGCGTGAGATTGACAGGCGGATCGGTGCAGCGTGCGCAGTGATGCGGTCGCTGTATCGGACCGTCGTGGTGAAGAGGGAGCTGAGCCGAAAGGCAAAGCTCTCAATTTACCTGTCAATCTTCGTTCCCTCCCTCACTTATGGTCATGAGCTTTGGGTAATGACCGAAAGAACGAGATCGCGGATACAAGCGGTCGAAATGAGCTTCCTCTGCAGAGTGGCTGGGCGCTCCCTTAGAGATAGGGTGAGGATCTCAGTCACACGGGAGGAGCTCGGAGTAGAGCCGCTGCTTCTCCACGTCGAGAGGAACCAGTTGAGGTGGCTCGGGCATCTGTTCAGGATGCCTCCTGGACGCCTCCCTGGGGAGGTGTTCCGGGCACGTCCCACCGGGAGGAGGCCCCGGGGAAGACCCAGGACACGCTGGAGGGACTATGTCTCTCAGCTGGCCTGGGAACGCCTTGGGGTCCCCCCGGACGAGCTGGAGGAGGTGAGTGTGGATAGGGAAGTCTGGGCGTCTCTGCTTAGACTGCTGCCCCCGCGACCCGGCAACGGATAAAAGCGGAAGAAAATGGATGGATGGATGGACAATAGCCCCCATTGTCTGTTAATTTCTTAGTCTCCATAATGTGATGTCATCATAGATCCTACATTATTTTTTTTTACTTTCCATCACAAACAGAATCTTGATCGTAGCAAAACTGTCATGTGTTATCTCAGTAAACACACTCCGATATTCCGATTTGGTTCCGGCTCAAATGTGTGTTGTTTGCGTAGCCACTGGTTTGGAAATGAATGATGCTGCAATGGATTTTTAGACCGACGGTTGTCTCCTGACGGTCCAGTGGAACTCCTCTCTGCCACATCCATCGGCTCCTGTTTGAGGTCTCTGTTTTCTCCTTGTGTTAATGAAGAGCTCAGTCAATGTCAACATGTGGAGCGTAAATGAACTAAGACAAAGTGCTCACATTGAACTGACCCTGCTTCTGTCTGCCTCAAGTGTAGTCTGCCTAAAAAGCTGACACTGCCCTTCTGAGAGTGGCCGCTGGAGCTCACCTAATAACCTCTTTTGCATTTATGGCTTTATAAACCAAGGCCGCCTCTTCAGTGGTATACATAATTCATCAATGTATACATAAGTTATGATTTTGACATCTTCTGGGTCTCCTTTCTGCGGCTTGCCAAAAAACTGTTTTCGATTATTTTGACTTGTTTTCCACTTTGCTGCATTCTGTTTTGTTACAACTCCCTCAAGGGCATATTCAGAGCTGGTTTTCTTACTAAAATGTTATTCTAATAAAAATTCCTGCTGTGACCCAATTTGCTTAACAGAGACAGATCAACAAAACAAATCTAGACACCTAACAAATAGAGACACCTCTATATAAAATGAGGAAAGTCTTTAGTTTGGATTCGATTCAACCTCCAATGGAGTTTGAAAGTTCTCCCTGTGTTTCCTCCGGGCGCTCCGGTGTCCCTTACCCCTAAGAAAAATGGACAATAGGTCATATCCTCCAGCTCCGGTAGTCCTAACCAAGCCAGAGCACATTTGATATTATTAGAGAGTTATCAATTTGCAAAGAACATAATGGAAGGAAACCTTTTCGAATTGCAGGTTTAAATGAGGACTATAGTTAGATGGGGCAGGTCTCAGGATGTGAGACTGTGCACCTCATTAAGTACAAGAGAATCTGAAATATATGAGGTACCAGACTGTGGAGAGCTTTAAAAACAAGAAAAAGGATTTTAGTTCTGGGCCTGAATTAGAGCTAATTAATTTTTTTCGTCTTTTTTTTATTTTTTTATTTTTTTTTACAAATATTGAATGAGTTGTAAAACCTGAGGAAAAGGCATCACAATAGCCAAAACTACTTAAACACACTTAAAAGTGGGTGAGCATATTTATTGGACATGAATCAGAATGAAACAGTTTTTTAAGTGCAAAAAGGATAATTTTGTTATTATATTAAAAATACATTGAATTGAATTGAAAGTGTTGCTAAAGACAGAGCCCCGAGCATTGATGTCACCAAGGCCTCTTACAAAGTCCTTGGGCGCAAAACTGGTGACATAATATTTATTTCTTTTTAATTTAAATCCTCTTACAATATTTGCAGTTTTACAGGATTTAGCTGCAGAAATATACTGAAAAAGGGATTTAGGTAACTAGTACAGTAGGTCCCATTCCGTTTTGTCGTCTTCATTCACGCTTCTCGGGAATCACGCAGCTGCGTGAAAAATAGTACATCTTATCGCCACAAGGTGGCAGGCTAAGTCCGCTTTAGCTCTGCCAGCGACTTAGACGCTCAGGTATAACACTGCGTGCAAACCTGTCTAACCCAGAGGTGCTATGTTGGCCAAATGGATAACATTAGAGACTGGGACCTGGAGAACCCAGGTTCGATTCTTGTCTGAAGCACATCTTTTGGTTGCTTGTGGCAAAATTGTTTTTTCATTAAACAATTATTATATAACATCTTGTCTTTAATGTCTGAAAAAATCGAGGTGAAAGGTTGAGGTTTCTATCGAGGTTTCTATTGAATGCTATTTCTTTCTTTATAATCTTTATCTTTATAATACGAATTGCATTAACGTATATATTTAAAATAATTATGTATTGTCTATAGAATTCTATTCTAAAAAAAGGTCTTGTTATGACTCTCAAATCATTAATGACAAAACAAAGACTAAAACGAGGATTTATATAGGGATGGGTTTGAACAATTGAGTCAGTGTCTATGATCGTGTGAACCCCTGGTCTAGTGGTCTAAGCTGTGTGCTTATGATGCAGGAACCTGGGTTCGATCCCGCGCTATATATTTTTGTATTTATTGCATGTTATCACATTCTATGACAGATTGCTCTAAAAACGGTAAAAGATGAAGGTCAAGACGTTTTTTTTGCAGATTATAGCTTAAATGTAAAAATAATCATTTAAGACCACATGTACCCCAATTAAAATAATGTTAGTCTCTTTTGATGTGGAACTTTTACATGTTTGTCTAAAAAATAGGGAATAAATAAAATTGAAAGGTGATATCCTCTTGAGCAAACCCTGATGTTGATACGCTGAAGAAATACGTTCCAACATCCATTCTTCCCACTCCTATTTTGGACATCAATTGCTTATTTATTTTGCATAAACTATGTATAATTACATTGCTTTTATTTTGTTTTTGTTTTTTATCTCAAATGTCCAAATAATAATAATAATAAAAAAACATTAATCAAAACATTCATTCAGCATTAGCACGGCTGTCATGGCAATGTGAATGGAGACGGACAAACAACTGATAAAATAATTCCCTGTGTTTGCTGCTGGATTTGGTGTGAATCTGGCAACCAGTCAGGGAGAGTGGGAGAGGACTACAAAATATTGACTATGACTGCAGTACCACTTTTGGCCAGATTTTTACATATTGTTCCTTTAAGTCATCTTTTTTTGAGAAAAGTGAAAAGTGTGATTTTTGTCTCTTTTCGGCCCTGTATATTACTGTGAAACTTCTGGGATTCGGCTGTTGACGGTAGTTTGTTGTCCCCTCCTCCCTCCTCCACAGGAGGCTTTAACATGTAAATGACAATGCTGTGAGCTATACAAATGCTAATCAACAAGTTCTAGTGTTAAGATGTGCGAGGCGAGCCTGGCCTGACTGCGCTCTCCTCCTCCTAAAAAAAGATTAGAACGCAACAGTTTAGTTAATAATGTGTGTATAAAAATAAAAAATATTGAAATTATGACTTTAAACAAAAAGTAGTCTTCTGTCCTCTAGATGTTACAGACAAGGCCCGCATCCTCCACCACCTGAAGAGGATGACATAGTCTGGGATCGCGTCTTACATTCAGACAGAAGACATGTTTTATTGTCGATGGTAGAGACAGCACGATCAGAGCACACGATCACAGATACAAGAGAATGCAAGTGTATTATACAGAGCGGAGGCATGGAGACCTCCAATCAGCAGCTGCCACGGTGCCATGTAGCTTGGCCTTCAGATAGACACAACAAGGGAAAAGTACTGGCTTCTGCACATTGATAGAATGATGAGTTTAACTTTAACAAAAGTTGCTTCAAAGTGTTATGAAATCTCATATTCCCCCCTCTGGTCATACATTCACGTGTGACCATCAGGATCGATAAACAGCAACATAACATCATAACTCAATACTTCAAAAACTCAAACTCGGTACTTCAAAAAACTCAGAACTCGGAATACTTCAAAAACTCATAAAACTCATAAAACATGTTCAGATCTTTCATAAAACTTGTCAACAATCTTCAGTAAAATACCAAACTTCATCAGTCGATGGTGGTTCCAGATATTGCTTTGAAAACAGTCTCTCCCACTTCTCCGTGTTGTTTCTTCAGGCTGCATTTGTGTCGAGCCATCAATTCTTCTGTGACGTGTCTTTCAATCACACGTTTCAGCTTCAGTGTCCAGATTCAGCAATCCAATTCAGTCCAAATTATGTCCAAATTGTGTAATCCAATTTTTCCAAATCATGTCCATGCAAAAGAGGACGATGGTATTGGCCATGTCTCAGCAGCTTCTCTTGAGGTTTCTCAGTTTTGGCTTAAAAAAAAAAAACACTTTTTGTGTAAAAAAAAAAGTAGTGTTCTGTTCACTAGATGTTACAGACAAGGCCCGCATCCTTCCACCAAAAAACTACAAAGCAATGTTATAATTTTAACATACATTTTCTCTAAAAGTAACTATCTTGGATAGTAAAACTTCCAACTGAACATTACTGTTCATTAAACTGAGTTTGAGGGTTTTTCAACTTACAGTTTTTTTCAGTCACCATTTTACGGACATTTTCAGTACATTTCACTGACATTTTTTACAGTGTGTAAAGAGAGCATGGATCTAGAGAGTGATGATAACACCAACAGCCGTTTGTGTGTATGTATATGTTTATATATATATATATATATATATATATATGGTGCTACTTTGAACCGAGAATATAACACATATTTTCAGTTGATTACCTTTTCTTTTAGCTATGTACATAATTCAGTTTTGATGCCTTCAGTGTGAATCTACAATGTTCATAGTCATGAAAAAAAATAAAAAATCCAAACTTTTGGTCTGTACTGTACATACATATATCCTTTGATGAGCACTTACACTTTCACTGGAAAGTTGTGCTCCCCCTCAACCCTGATTAGCATTTGTATAGCTCACAGCATTCCCATTTACATGTTAAAGCCTCCTGTGGAGGAGGGAGGAGGGGACAACAAACTACCGTCAACAGCCGAATCCCAGAAGTTTCACAGTAATATACAGGGCCGAAAAGAGATGAAAATCACACTTTTCATGCAGTGAGAGGAGCCTGTCTCTGAGGAGCCAATCTTAGAGGAGCTAATCCCAAAGGTCTCCGCGGAACCAATCATAGAGAATTTAATCCTAGAGAATCCATTCCTAGAGGAGACTGTTTCTGAGGATGTTGTCCCAGAGGAGCCAATCACAGAGGAGCCAATCAAAGAGCAGCCAATCAAAGAGGATCCAATTAAAGAGGAGCCAATCAAAGAGGAGCCAATCAAAGAGCAGCCAATCAAAGAGGATCCAATCAAGGAGCAGCCAATCAAAGAGCAGCCAATCAAAGAGCAGCCAATCAAAGAGGAGCCAATCAAAAAGCAGCCAATCAAAGAGGAGCCGATCAAAGAGGATCCGATCAAAGAGGGGCCAATCAAAGAGGGGCCAATCAACGAGCAGCCAATCAAAGAGGAGCCTATTCCAGAGGTCAGTGTCTCTGAGGAACTAATCCTACAGGAGCCTGTCTCTGAGGAGTTTGTCCCGGATGAGCCAATCAAAGAGGAACCAATCAAAAAGGAGCCCATCCCAGAGGATCTTGTCCCTGAGGAGCAGTCACAGACGTGCATTTCCCTGAAGATCTTGTCCCTGAGGAGACAATCCCGGATCTGTTTCAGACCCTCTGCACTGTGGCCCCCACTTCTCCTGAGCAGGACAGTCCAGTGGATCTTCCCTCGTCCCTGGACTCCATCTCTTCTCTTGACCTTGTGAGTCTGGTGCAGGACCGTAACACACCTGAGGTTATCCAAGAATCTCCAGCTCCAGAAACTCCAAACCTCCAGGACTTCAACAGTCCTTCAGAAACTGTCAGTTCACTAGAAAAAACCAACCCACCAGAGACCCAGGACGTCAGCTCTGATGCTGTTCACTTCCTGGTTTCAACGATGATCCGAAAGCTCTTGGACAAATCCCCCGTGTCCCTGGACATTAGGGAACAAGGAAAAGTTATTTCGCGACTGCGTGAGGTGGAGCGAAGAGTCTCCATGCCCCAGGAAACAGACCTGAAGACCAAAGATCTCAAAGCCGTAGCTAAAGAAGTGGCAAGAAGTCTCCAGGAATAGCTGGGAGCCAACTCCTCAGCGCTGCTTTAGAGTGACTGGTTTGTGGAGGCAGCATATAAACTTCCAGCTGAAAGACTTCAGTAACGAGGACAGAGGCCGACGACCAGGACGCTTCTTCTCTCGAGTGTTTAAGATGTCCAGGATCAGGAGGAGCAGAGTGTCGCCTGGTCCTCTGATCAGCATCCTAAAAGCACATCACTCCTGCCTGAGGTCACCTTCACTCACTGTAGAAGCTCATTCCCGCCGAACCGAGGGCCCACCGAACCGAGGGCCCGCCTCCCGGACGCTGCCATTCTCTCTGGAATCCTCCTGTATGGCCAATAGGAGCTCCGCCGAACCAATCTGGTGGCGCAGATTGGTCGCAGATTGGTCAAACTGATGCTTCATTTTTGCCTGTGAATTTTGCAGATGTACGAAATCTAAAACATTGGCTGCTTTGGATGGAGAGAGAAATGTTTCCTTCAGCGCTTTTAGCGGGCCCCGTGGGGTATGGGCAAATATTAATTCAGCGGGGCTGAAACCCAAAGACTCCTGAGTCGCATCACGGGCTGCAAAACAGTATGAATGGGATCCCTTGATTCCTTGATCCCAATTTTTCCCAGTTTTTAAGCAGTACTTATGAAGCATGGATTTAAGGGTCTGGTGCCAACGCTACAGAGCACCCTGTGACTCGGGATGATACCCGCTGGACAGAACATGTTTCACCCCAAGTGACTGAAACACTTGTTCAAACAGGTTGGACTTGAAATTTGCTCCCTAGTCTGTCTGTAAGATTTTTGGGAGGCCAAAAACTGAGAAGAATTTAAGCAGCAATTGATTGCTGATGCCTTATCCAGATAAATGTGGTGTGTATGCATTATCTGTGTTTGTTCAGAAGTGGTACTGTGGACAGTATCTTAAGGGGTGGGGTGTTACGGCTCCAGGTCTGGGCCGTTTTGCGCAACCATCTCCTCCCTCTCCCGGTGCGTCTCTCCTGTCTGTGGGTGTCTGGCTCATTCCCGCCGAACCGACGCTGCCATTCGCCTGGAATACTCCTGTATGGCTAATAGGAGCTCTGGCCGAACCAATCTGCGCCACCAGCTGACCTGCCCGCGGCCAATAAAGCAGCGGTACGACGTCCGGACGGTGCGGCTTGTTTTCAGTACAAGTGCGCAAGAGTTATGGAAGGTTCTTGGTGCAGACGACTCCTTGGATGGTACTTTAAAGGCCGGTTACACCTGCCCCCAGCCTGATTTTATCATAGTTTTACCTATTTTTCTGATGTGACTGTATGTGCGTGTGTGTGTGTCAACACTGAAAATATGTATTCTAGGCCTATACTGTAACTTGTTGTCAACTTTTTACAGTGATTTGGTAGAATACACCGGATGAAAATGTTCAAAGAAGAAATATATAGCCCACATTTTAAGAGATGAACTACTGTTGTTAAAAACAACATTTTGTCTGCTGGGTGCTGTGTGGGCTGGAACGTTGCATCTATGGCACAATTCAATACCATTACTACATATGAACATGATTTTCATACTTTGCCATGCAAAATGTTTTGTGAACGAAGTATTCAAATATCTGAGTTAGAATCTGATTATAATAATAGAAATTCAAACTCAGGTTCAAAAAACACATTCTGCTCACTTAAGTCTGTGAGGCATTATCAGTCAGCTCTGCCCATGGTGCAGAGACACCAGTGCTTCTTTCTCCATCGCATTCTATCCTCAAATAAACAGGACAGTAAATATCTCCTCATTGAACATTTTAAATCAACATCTGAGTCAGAAATCCTACTGGGATGTCAGCGAGTAAATTGATGGACGAATTGCCTTGTTTTTCTCTCGTTAATATTTTACAAAATTCAGCTCTATTTCTCTCCACCAATATTGATTTGTGTTTCGTTCTGACAATTGGATTTGTTTCTGATAAAACTTCAGAAGTGTGTTTCTGCTTCTCCATAGCAGTGAGTTGTCATGCTGAGCCCGAACAGGTGCGTACACACACAAACACACACACCACAAGTAATCTTTACTTCACGGTCCAATATTTCACTGTCAGTGTGATGTCACCATACTGCTTGGTTTTCCTTTGGTTCCCTTAACTGGTGTGAAACCAAGGGGAAAACTGTTTACTTGCAACTCAGTATTTTTCAGTGTTTAACAGCCAATCAGGAGCGAAGAGAAACGGCCACAACGTTCACACCACTTAGTGAACAGCGCACACCGCCAATTAAATGTGTTGCTAATGGTAACAGGAGGAAACCAAATTGTAAAAGTTGAAGCATGTCACCCTATTCCCAGAAAGGGCAACAACCTGTTCAGCATCTCCTTTGGCTTTGTCTCTTGAACCCATGACAAAGCAGGGACAATAGCTCCTCATCACGGAGGCTGAATGATTGGCCCAAAGCTACGCTCCAGATGTGTGTCAATGCTGAGGGGAGCGTTTTTATGGACCAGTCTAGTTTAGCCGCTGTGGACTTTTGAACGCACTCGTTAAATGAGCCGGCTAATGCATAAGCAAATGCCTTTTTCCACATTATTTTGGTCGCACCTTGTCAATGAAGTCCATACTGTATATCAGTTCGGACCAGTGTCATTTTTACAACGTCCAGATAATACTTTGACTTGAATTGTATTTAAGAAATTTAACTTTGATCATTTGTTAAATTCCTTTTTTTTCAGTTCACCAAGTTCATGTAGTATGCGTTCCTCAAGATGATTATGACTTTATATTGTTTGTATCATGAAATGGTTTGAAAAGTGCTGCACACGAGTCAAACAAAATGACAGACGACAGAAATAAAAATGCTGATGTGACTTCATTGCAGTAGTTTAAGGCAAAAAAAAACAGTCAAATAAAATGAGAGCAGAAAACCTTTCAATCAAATAAATGAAATAAACAGCACCACTCAACTTCCTCATGTCCTTAAATATGCACCTGCGCTACAACTTTGAATCAAGTATGGCCTGGTCAAGAAAAAGTACATTTGGTGATCTTTTGTCCACCAAATCTCACAGGACAAGTTAGTGAACAAACATGATCGTGGGATGGATGTGGCAGCGAGATGGATGGGTATAATTATGTACAAAGAGAGGAGGATTGATTGAAACTAAGGAAGTGTTTAATCAGGCTGATCGTAAAACTCCAGAGATGAATGAGAGTCATTCTGACAAACTACCCATTCTGCTGAGAACAAAAACAAGCCAGGTTTAGCTTTTCAACCAGAGGAGGTTTCAAACATATCAACTATAGGAACCCAACCCTTAGACCTAACGCAGTAATCGTTTTGGCAAGATATCAGAGAATATGAATAATAACACAAAAACTTGTTTTCCCTCATTGTTAATGTTTGTGTGAAGTGCTTTTTTGTCAAATAAATGTCTTCCTTTTTCCATAGATAGATACTTTATTGATCCCCGTAGGAGAAATTCAGGAGTCCAGCAGCAGAAACACAGTCGCTCTCACAAACACACATTCATTCACCCTGAACTATTGTACATGTTTTTAGTGGTAGGGGAAACCGGAGCACCTGCAGGAAACCGGAGCACCCGAAGGAAACCGGAGCACCCGGAAGAAACCTGAGAACCCGAAGGAAACCGGAGCACCCAGAGGAAACCTACGCAGACACGGAGAGAACGTAAAAACTACACTATTGACCTGTTCCCAGGTCACAGCAGCAGAGGTGGAGTAGCCGCCCATTTTTAAAAGGGCATCAAGACTGGAGATGAGGATTTTTAATTAGACAGCATTGTTGTTTACACTTAAATAGGAAAATGCAAATGTGAAACCTAAATATGTCCAGTCAAAGTAAGAATTGTCCTTAAGAGCCTTGATGAACCCTCCAGACATCTTCAAGAGTGGATCACCGGGCAGCGAGGAGAAAAAGGTGCCCACAAAGATTTGCAAAGGTTAATAGATTCTTCAGTGTGTAGTGTGTTTTTGAATTTATTATAAATACATAAAAGAGCCTGCATATTAATCCCGTCAGTCAAAACAGTTTTCCACATGCAAAACAGCAGAGGTTGGAAGTTAATGTTGTGCTTTGAGGAAGAGATAAATTGATAGTTGGCTTGTAAAAATGAATAGCTCCAAGGCGTCTCTATTCGCTTAACTGTGACCCAAGTATTTATCCATCTTTGTGCATGAAAAATGATAATAAAAGCAAAATACATTTCTGGGCTTCTGCAGGGTAATGGATCACGGGAGAAAAGGCAAATTTATTCAGAAGTCAAAGCCGAGCAAGCCAAGTGGAATTAATAATAAAAGAGAATATTTTAGAGTGAGCATGCAGCTAAAAGCAGCTGACAAAAGGGCAACATTGTGTGATAATTATATGCTTGATATTGAAATTATCCATGTTTGTTGATCTAGTGTTATTTTGGTTGGAAAATGCTCAAAATTATGATTACCCCAGTGTTGTAACTGGCCTTAAATAAAAGTTACATTGGACTATGCTTTGGATTGTCCAGGGCTGATCCTAATGTGTTCTCCCCCTTGTGCGTGTGTGTGTGTGCGTGTGTGTGTGTGCGTGTGTGTCACAATCTGGGAGCAGCGTTCACCAGCTGCACTCACTCACAGCCTCACCTGCAATACATCCAACATCAAGTTCTTCATATTTAAACTCGCTCTTTCGCCGCTTCCTTCCCCTTTGTTATTTCACCAATCGTGGTTACACATCTCTTGGCTCTTGTTCCTGTGACTTGTAACTAGGGTTGCTACTTTTGCATTTTTTTCTGAGTTGCCCGTTTTTTTCCTGTTCCAGCGTTTTTTCTGGATAATCTACCTACATCTGTACCTACACCTGTGCCCCTGGACCCAGCCTCTAAAAATGTAAATGTGCACTTTATTGTCCGAGTGGAGACATTTGTCTTCTGCATTTGACCCATCATGATGTTACTAAAGCTTCCGTCAGGCGCATTGGTTGCCGTAGTAACAGCGCCCGGGAACCCATCTCCAGATGTTGATACTTAGCTTGGTCAGGACTGGAGCTCGAGGATTTGACCTATTGAACA